CTTACATGAAATTTACGCAACATCGAACTTAAATATGCATCATTAACCAAGAAATAAAGAAATTATTTATTGTTCGCATTTGTTATTTAAAACTTCAAAAATGTTAGGTGAACACTTAGAAGTTTGGTTCAGTGTATACGATTTCGAGACGGTAGAGATTCATGTTAATGCTATTTGCGAGTCGGATGCCCAAAACTTGTCACCACTCAAAATAACGTTCATCGCGTGAGGGAAATCTTAAACTCGGATAGACGGATTACATTAACACAGTTGAGTGAAGATCTTTCTATCTCATATGGATCCATATACAACAATGAACACAACGATTTGAAAATGTCCCGGGTCTGTGCAAGATGGGTGCCTAGACTCTCAAAAGATTCTGAAAAAGTCAGAAGAGTTGAAGAATCAAAAAAGTTTCTGTGCCGATGATCAACAAAACTTCTTGGACCGAATCATAACTGTAGACGAAATTTGGATATCCAATTTTGACCCAGAAAGTAAACAAATGTCAATGCAGTGGATTGGGTCTAATTAACCCCCTCCCAAAAGGGCCAGAGTCTGTCAATCCTGTGAAAAGCACGTGTTTATAATATTTTTTGACTCACGTGGAGTTATTTTAGGTCATGTTGTGCCTAAAGGAAGATCAGTAAATGTAAAATATTACTCAAAGGTTAGATATAATTTTTATTGCATAAAAAGAAATATGAATTATTGTAGGCCAAACTTTTTATTAACTCTATGCACATATACCCAATAAAAGTAATAAGTAATACAATAAATTGAAATATTGGTTATGCAATTATAAAAACGAACGAATATTTTGATCATTAACATTTATTCATTTTTTAATATTAATGCGCAACTGCACTGATGATTTTATATATCAAGTTTTTATCAAAGGATTTAGTTAATGCCCTTAGGAAAAAAAGGCCTGAATTTTACATAAATCGGAAAAAAATTCTTCTACATCATGACAATGCTCCATCGCATACTTCAATAGAGACTGTACTCACAATCAACTTACAGCTAGGAGCCGAAAAAATGCCCCAGCCACCATACTCACCGGATCTCGCACCTTGCGACTTTGCGTTCTTTCCAAGATTGAAAAGCGATTTACGAGGAAGAAAATTTCATGACATCACGGAGCTTAAGTCAGCAGTAAATCGGACAATTGGATCTTATCAGCAGGACTGGTATCAGTCCATATTTCAATCCTGGGTACATCGCCATGAAAAGTGTATTGTCGCAGGTGGAGAGTACTTTGAAAAGTTATGACGTGGTGACGTTGCGCGACGTCAAATTACTGAACCGACAACAGCGCCGGAATACCATACCTTGTATTATTTATTTTACGATAAAATTATTGTTTTGCAAAGTACAGAGTTTAAATTTTCATTTGTAACTTTAATTTGTATATTAATGTTGACAATAAATTTCAATAACCCAGCAAGCATAGTATTAATTTTATAGCGTCAGTCCACGAACTTTTTGATAACCCCTCGTATTTTTAGACAAAAAAACCGAAGACTATCTGGGGAAAAAGTTTACAATTTCATTGTTTCAATCCTTTGATCGATGTAGAAGTGTTGTGCAAAATAACACAAAAACTATAGCATGTTTGGGTCTTGAGGAAAACAGCTGATTACTTTCTAAAAAACGTAACATTTTATAGATTAATTAGATAATGCTTGACAGCAGGGGTACAGCTCATGTCTAAAAATAGTCGACACCCTGGTATCGTTTTTTGCACTCGAGAGATGGAAAAAACGATACCAGGGTGTCGTAGAACCAGATGTATTATAGGAATGGAGTATACTTTGTTAGAAAATATTAATTGTGTAATTGTACATGTGTTGTTATTTCTGGATGACAAATAATGTGAAGAAGGACTTACATTTACAAATGTGACATATTAAATAATAAAGACATTTTCAGTGAATCCAATATCACTCGTAAACACATCAAAATGATAAACAAACCTACCATTGGGCAGGGTAAGTTACATGTACAGTGTATACAACACTACGCCAGTGTACCCAATTGGAAACAATTGATAAGCCTTTTTGAATTCTGATACATAATGAACTATACATATTTAGAATAGTTTAATTGGTCTGGATGATTTCCAAATAAGGAAGTCAAGAACGATAACCGAAAGTTGCTATAAATGGACATCAAGTAAACGTAATTATATTTTTGACCAATCAGCATTTTTTCACACCCCAAAACATATTCTAAAAGAACAAAAAGATAAAAATTGCTTTTGTTTTTTTCCCTCAAAAAATCTGTAGAACTAAGATGAAAACTTTTGAAGAAAAAGGTATTCCCCACAGATTTACCGTGAAGAACTTTGACATTTTTATCTCAGTAAAGAAAAAGTTATGCATGATAGAATGTAATCGTTTAGCACGGAGGTATAGATCGCACCAGAAAGTTCCTATCAAGTTCAGTTATAACATTTACCAGAATATATTATATGATGGTTAAATATAATTTTGCTTATTCGATTTTCATCAATAATGCTTAAATTCCATGTGTATAGATTAACTCACGCAAGTGGTTATCGTATGGACTATACATATATAGTTTTGAATTATTATGGGTTTCTCGAGCGCCGAATACTAAGCTATGCAGACTTTAAATGGGTATATGGAAAGGCGTATAAAGTGGAGAAAGAGAATCCTGTAATTATACATGAATGCGTTTTATCCCAAAATCTTACCTCGCATATCAGAAACTGTACAAAAAAAAATCAAAACACTCAAAAGTTAATCAAGACTGATATCTATTCGATAAGATTTTTATATCAGGCTATTAAAACTGAAAAAAAATCCGTATTTATATCAAACATTTAACGTAAGTTAAACTTTTAGGATTGCTACCTCATAGTGACAGATTTTTTATTCCACTTTAATTGTATTCTAAACTTTCAGGTCGTGTTTGTTAACGATAGAATTGTCATAATTATTATATTATTCCCAAATGCGCTTAAAGTTTACAAAAATCTTGTTCTAAAAAATCTTTTAAGCAAAAAAGATAATAACCACGTGTTTCATTTGTTTTCTCACGGGTTTGTCTGAATGCTTTTATCTGATTGGTCAGAAGGACTAGCGCCTTGTTTATTCTTGTATTAATAGCAATTCACGGTTATCGTTCTTGACTTCCTTACTTAGAAATCGTTCAGACATGTTTAAAGAAAATTTCGAAAACAATAGGATGATATGCATGTTACATATATTTTTATCTGTGAATACATTATTTACTAAGTCTTACAATGCCTAGGGGATATCCTATTTAAAGTACAATATCTTGATCTCGTGAAAACTACATGTAGGTTTTAATGTAACTATTATTCAAAGATAAAACAGTTATAATCTATTGGTTCCTTTATTGATGCAATAGGACCATACTTTAATAATGTACTCAGTGCCAAGTTTTGCTTGTTTGATTAAAAACAATCTCAAAACAGTCCATTTATTTTATTACTATTTTTTTTTTGATAAACGTTATACTACAAGTAAACTGTAACTGTATATAACTACTGTTAACTTTATGTTATATTTATTACGTTTTCTGGTTGCATTAAACTCATTATATTTCTATTTGATATGGATAAGTCAGTGATATATCTTATGATATTTAATGGATACATGTTGTAGAGCAGACACACTATGCATTTTAAAGGGTTTAGCATACACTTAGAGTAAAACATCATTTTCTGATCATGACAACGAGCACACGTCGGGTGTGATCGGTCGACAGGGGATGCTCACTCCTACATGGCACCTGATCCAACCTCTGATGTTTCGGGGGTCCGTGTTTGCTCTGCTCTTATTTTGTATATTATTGAATGGAATTTGAGATTGAATACTGCTCGTTATTTCCATATCCTTCCTTATTACACACAATACACACTCAGCACCTGTGTGGCCAGTCAAAACAGGATACCTTACTCCTCTTAGGTATCTAATTCCAACTCTGAATTTTCCGGGTGTGAGTGTTTTGTGGTCCCTTTAATATTTGTATTTTTTTTTAATTCTTTTTTGAGATAAATCAGTTTTCTTTATCTACACCATTTTTTTTTCATTTTATGCACCTTTAGGTACTAGGGTACATTAAATATCCTATGATATTTTAGATGGTGATCATGATTCTCTAGATAGAGTAAGTCTTTAATTTTTAATGATTCAGGAGAACGTGTTTTAATATTTACACAACAAGACATTTAATCAGATATCTTAGGATCCCATTTTTTAGAATACTCTATGTTATTTATATTTTAGACTACATTGGGAATTATGCCTTGGGACGATAAATACCTTAGTGTGCTTTAGAATACACTGAGTTCTGTTAAATATTATAATGATTTACTTATTTTAAGATTGCACCCACAAGTTATAAATACATTCCTGATTATAGAACAGCTTTGTAGCATAACGTTTTAGTGGTTTTAATATAATTGTGATACTGTAAATGTATTTTATTTGGCGTGTAATATATTAAGCAGAAATTGATTTTTGAACAGGTTAGCGTAGATTTGATTTATCACATTTATTCATTTTTGTATACATGAGTATATTTGCAAAACATGAATTAGCGGACGTTTCTTTCCGTCAAAGGCGCTAAAAGGAATACACAGCCAAATGTTATACGTTTACAGTATTAGTAATGAAATGGTTTGATATACAAGCAGCATTTCATTTCTTCTGGATAAAGAATAATTATTTCAATTTACAAAATAAAGGTCAAAGAACACATATGAGATTTTATGTTTTCTGGTTTATTTATGAATACATTTGCATTTTACATTTTAATCATTTTTTGATACATTTGGCATTAAACATATTGATTTAAGACACGCGTGATATTGCTTTTTTTTTAAACTGAATAATAAAGAAATTAGCATTGTACTTTATTATTGCTAAAGTATATTTTCGTGTGTTTTTTTTTTTGTATCTTATCATGTTACTACATATGTACCTCTATGTGCTGTATTTTACCGTTCTGACTCCTAAATGGGAATCCATTCTGCAAAGCACGGAGAGGCCATTGCTGTTTTCACCAAATGGGTATATCGTGTAAATTCCCGTCTTCCTTTCGCCATTCTTGTAAATGTCCGAACAATCAAAGGGAGTTCTATTACCTTTAAGAAATTAAAAAGAACAAATGATATATGTATATTAAAGACAATAAAGATTTTATATATTTTTCGATTTTTACGTTTATCAACATTCTTCTAACATGGTATGGAAATCCCTTTTTAAAACTGCAAAAATATTTAGATTTACGTATATTACACATTGTTTTTAGGTTCAGAAGAAAAAAAATGCAAAGTTTGGCAGCATAATCAAAATGCAAACTCTTGCAAAGCCTCCCGATTGACAATAGATATCTTGATTATACTTACATGTACATGAACGACTGATATTCTTTGTTTTTGTCAATAGCTCTCTGATTTCTTTGCTATCCTGGCGTATTTGCTTGTTATCCTCGCGTAATTGCTCTACCTCCTGCTGTAATTTAAGGATTTGTTCATGCATATATATTTGATCACTGCCCCATTCAATTTTGTTCAAATCTGTGTAAAGCGAACTTGTAAAGAATACGCAAGAAAAGAAACACACTATCCAAATGGTCGCCATTCTTTAAACTTTTTTTTCTATTTTAGTGATTGATTTTTTTTACGCAGTTAGTTATACTACGCACTTAATAAAATTCTGATCCTACGCCTGGTGTTGGTGTCATTTAATACCTATTACACAACGGTTATTTCAAATCAATACTCAAAATAAATGGGGCATTTTGGTTTGAATAGAACAACCCGATTCCGGTCAGAAAATAAAATTGAAGTAGATTTTATGCAATATATTAAGAATTTTACAGCAAATAATTTCTAGATGTTTTAAAAATGTATTCCATTCCATTTAATTCCAGCTTTTAAAAAAGTCCTTATCCCTCCTTACTTTATTTGATATTATACAGTATTTACAGGCAAGGACCTTTCTTAATTATATGTGAATGTTTATTAAAATGATAATTTGTAGGATGTTAATAGATTTCTTATCTTGCATTGTAATTGACAGACAAATATATATACCGTATAAGTGGAAATTTTAGCGAGATGCAAATTTAGCAATTTATCCTTAAAAAAAATAGTAATTTTATTTTTAGCGAGATGTTATTTTAGCGATTTTAAAATGCATATTAAAGAAGGTATTATAATTAAAACGCAATTAATTTTTAGCGATCTCGGCTCCCTCGCTAATAATGCCAAAATTAAATCCTTCTAAAAATTCTATATATACGGTATATATTAAAGAGAATGACTATCAGTATACATATATATGTATACACTGATTACTGAGAAGTCTCAGAGTGAAAAACGAGCAATCCGGAGATTATTATTTTTTTCCTCATTGTTCTCCTCGATTAACTACGCAGTGTGAAGCTATACAAGGCTACACGTAGCATTAAAAACATAACAAACATATCATTAAATTCCCAGCTTGGTTTTGAAATCATTGTGTAGGCTGTGAAATTAAATACAAACATTTTACACAAAGGCATCTTTTTTACTACATACACGTTGTGATAACAAATGAATTAGTTATTCTCGTGACGGTCTATTATAATTTTCGAAAATAAAGTTTTGCACTTAAATGGCTGCAGCACAAGTTTCTAAACAGTTTTTATTTCTTTTTTTTTCGTTTGGAAGTAAAACAATCTATTCGGTGTACCTAAAAAGTGTTGTAGGGACGAGCTGTAGAGTTATTAGTGTACCAAGTATATATTTCATGAGAAATAACGCTTACCAACAGATTTAAAAATTATTTCCACTTTTCTTATCATATTTTATATCTAAGCGAAGCGATTTCACTTCCGTCCTCATTGAGATTCATTTAGAGAAAACATCCTCTTGTTATTATTATTATTATTTTTTCAAAATATTTAGTTAATCTTTAATAATCACTTGCAAAAACATATCACAGTGTATAAACACACTTATACACCCCCCCCCCTCTTACCTGTTTCACGGTCCTGTAATCTGAAGTAATTCAGTTTTTTTTTTTTGCATTATAGTATTTAAGATAGGTCGCCGGTTTACTGCATGTTAAAAATATTACGAAAAAAAACATATAGTGAAAAATTGATACAATGTTCCTTAGAATTTGCAGCATGCTATATGTAATTTTTATCATTTATTTCCTACATGCAATTGGTTTTTTATGCATTATTACTGTACATATATATATTTAAACACTGATTCATTATTTTTACAAAATATAGACTTTTAACTGCAACAGTGTTCAAACAAATTGAATAACTCGCTTTGGCACTGGCGACGTTGCATTTCCAAGGCGTTCAACGTTTTTGACGTCATAGTAAAACGCGTATTTTAACCTTTTGACCCAATGTCCGTTTTACGATGTTTTGAATGCCGTAGCATGTGGCATGTAAATAGATACGTTTTGGTACAATTAAAGTCTTCCCATGAAAATATATGGAAAAATAGAGCTTTATAACCAATTTTCCAGAAGTCATATATCTTTTTAAAGCTGTAGACAAAATAGGAATTTCAAAATGTCAAGTCAATTTAAAATATTGTGATAAAAACAATCAGTATATCTTCTCGTTATTTTATTTTATTTATTTATTAAATTATTTATTCATTTATTTTTAGCTCACCTGAGCCGAAGGCTCAAGTGAGCTTTTCTGATCACATTTTGTCCGTCGTCCGTCCGTCTGTCCGTCCGTCTGTCTGTCTGTCCGTCCGTCCGTCCGTCCGTCTGTAAACTTTTCACATTTTCGACTTCTTCTCAAGAACCAATGGGCCAATTTTAACCAAACTTGGTACAAAGCATCCTTGGCTAAAGGGGAGTTTAAATTGTAAAAATGAAGGGCCAAATCCCCTTACAAGGGGAGATAATCAAGAAAAAACAAAAATAGGGTGGGGTCACAAAAAAATCTTCTTCTCAAGAACCACTGGGCAAGGAAAGCTGAAACTTATGTGGAAGCATCCTTGGGTAGTGTAGATATTAAATTGTAAAAATCATGACCCCTGGGGGTTGGGCGGGGCCACAATAGGGAATCCAAGTTTTACATAGAAATATATAGAACAAATCTTTAAAAATCTTCTTCTCAAGAACCACAGGGCCAGGAAAGCTGAAACTTATGTGGAAGCATCCTTGGGTAGTGTAGATATTAAATTGTTAAAATCTTGACCCCCGGGGGTAGGGCGGGGCCACAATAGGGAATCCAAGTTTTACATAGAAATATATAGAACAAATCTTTAAAAATCTTCTTCTCAAGAACCACTGGGCCAGGAAAGCTGAAACTTATGTGGAAGCATCCTTAGGTAGTGTAGATATTAAATTGTAAAAATCATGACCCCCGGGGGTAGGGCGGAGCCACAATAGGGAATCCAAGTTTTACATAGAAATATATAGAACAAATCTTTAAAAATCTTCTTCTCAAGAACAACAAGGCCAGGAAAGCTGAAACTTATGTGGAAGCATCTTTGGGTAGTGTAGATATTAAATTGTAAAAATCATGACCCCCGGGGGTAGGGCGGGGCAACAATAGGGGATCCCAGTTTTACATAGAAATATATAGAACAAATCTTTAAAAATCTTCTTCTCAAGAACCACTGGGCCAGGAACACTGAAACTTATGTGGAAGCATCCTTGGATAGTGTAGATATTAAATTATTAAAATCATGACCCCTCGGGGGTAGGGTGGGGCCACAATAGGGAATCCAAGTTTTACATAGAAATATATAGAACAAATCTTTAAAAATCTTCTTCTCAAAAACCACTGGGCCAGGAACTCTGAAACTTATGTGGAAGCATCCTTGGGTAGTGTAGATGTTCAATTGTTAAAATCATGACCCCCGGGGGTAGGGTAGGGCGGGACCACAATAGGGAATCTAAGTTTTACATAGAAATATATAGAACAAATCTTTAAAAGACCTTCTTCTCAAGAACACCTGGGCCAGGAACGCTGAAACTTATGTGGAAGAATCCTTGGGTAGTGTAGATATTAAATTGTTAAAATCTTGACCACAGGGGTTAGGACGGGGCCACAATAGGGAATCCAAGTTTTACATAGAAATATATAGATAAAATCTTTAAAGATCTTCTTCTCAAGAACCACTGGGCCAGGAATGCTGAAACTTATGTGGAAGCATCCTTAGATAGTGTAGATATTAAATTCTTAAAATCATGACCATTGGGGGTAGGGTGGGGCCACAATAGGGAATCCAAGTTTTACATAGAAATATATAGAACAAATCTTTAAAAATCTTCTTCTCAAGAACCACTGGGCCAGGAAAGCTGAAATTTATGTGGAAGCTTCCTTGGGTAGTGTAGATTCTAAAGTTTTGAAATAAAAAAGGGAAGGGGGTTGTTGGGCATGATAGGTATAGCAAGAGCGGGAATCTGGTAAAGATCTGCATCACCCAAGTTACTCAGGTGAGCGATGTGGCCCATGGGCCTCTTGTTATTCTTTTGGTATTTTATTTCAAATTTTTTTGTCTATGTATACGGCTAAGGTGATGTGTATATGACGTCATTTTATGACAACAGCATCATGTTGAATCTAACAACGCTTAAAAGAGGGGTTAATGGAACTGTTCCTGTCATATCAGTCGCAGGTGAATATGTGGCCCTAACTCACGTATATTTATCATTTTTTTCGATTTTTTTAATTGCCAAAATGTAAAATACTTATGTTCAGCTTAAACGTGGAGAGCTTTTGTTTTATAGAAAAAAAATACATGCATATAGTATATTATTGCATGTTTACAGTGGCATAGAAAACATTATACTTGTATACGTAATAGTATATTATTATATAGCTAACAAATAGTGTCTAAAAAATTATTTTATTGAACCCTGAGTTTGTATTACGTATATGAGTATGCCCGAAACATTCCGGATACGAGCGTTCAATATTGAACGCCTCACTGTAAACAAAAATGTCGTTTGCTAAATTTCTCAAGGCAAATTAAAGAAAGGAAGTGGCATCTAGGTTAGATATATTTATTTTCACACAAAATTGAAATTATTTTTTTTTAAATTTAGAAGGTATAAATTACGTTCGCACAAACAACTTTTTTAGGTTTTAGGCTTAGTAATCATTGTTAACCTCCTTTTTGCAAACCATTACTTTAAATGACTAATTTTGGCTGCCATTTTGTAAAACTTACTATGTAATTTATTCCTTGCATTTATTGATTATGTTGCATTGGTTTTAACATTTACACAATAGACATTACCCATAACCATATCATAATTCAGACTTAAAATGTATAATAATCTTGGCTCAGGCGATATTTACGTATACAAGGCAAAATAAGTTAGGGATCATATTTTTACACAAGAATAATATTTTCATACCCATGAATTTATGTGACAACCATGCGTAAGTAGTTTTAAAAACATGTCATTAACATGATTCGATACTAACGTCGCACGTGCTTAATGAGTTTTGGGGCATATTGGTCAAGAAAGTAAGTGGCGTTAATAAAGTAAGTGGAACAATGGAAGCATAGAAGTATCAAAGAGGGTTTTCTTTAGTGAACATAAGAAAATTTCAGTATTTCTGGCCAAAACTGGCGATAAGACGCTATCAGGAGGCATATGAGTATGGA